CTCTGAACCTTCTACTACACTCTTGCTAAGGTCAGTCAATAGAACAAATGGTTTTTTCTCTCACTTAATAGTATTTTATTTTTTCCAATTACATGTAAAAGATAGTTTCTGACATCTACTTTCATAAGATTTTGAGTTCCAAATTCCCCCTCCCCCCGCCATGGTAACTAATCTGATAGAGTTACACATGTACAATCATATTAAACATATTTCCACACTAGTCGTGTTGTTAAAGAAGAATCAGAACAAAAGGGAAAAACCACAAGAAAAAAAAGAGAAAATAGTATGCTTCAGTCTGACTCCGTAGTTTCTTTCTCTGGATGTCGATAGCATTTTTGATCATGAGTCTTTTGGAATTGTCTTAGATCATTGTATTGCTGAGAAGATCTAAGTCTATCAAAGTTGGTAATTGCACAATGTTGCTGTTACTGTGTACAGTGTTCTCCTGGTTTTGCTTACTTCACTTTGCATCAGTTCATATTAAGTCTTTCCAGGTTTTTCTGAAATCCACCTGCTCATAATTTCTTATGGCACGATAGTATTCCATTACATCCATATAGCACAACTTGTTCAGACATTCCCCGGTTAATGGGCATCCCCTCAGTTTCCAATTCTTTGCCACCACAAAAAGAGCTGTTATAAATATTTTTGTACATGTGGGTCTTTTTCAATTTTTTATAATCTCTTTGGGATACAGATCAATAGGGCAAATGTTAAAGAACCAAGCTCTCCAGGAAAAAAAAAAATGTGTTTAATCTGTATTATTTACCCTTTATTAAGTCTAAACAATCTGTAAAGATCTAAATTGATTTGTAAATTGTCAATCTCTGAGGTATAAATGCTCACACTGAAAATTTAACATCAGCTCTTGGAAGGAGCCCAGAGCTTGTTCCAGCACACCCTTCAAGAGAGTGTTAGGGACTTTGTGTGGGGAGCAGGATCAGGAAGGGAAACCTTGATTTTGGCTTTGAAGAAAGTCAGGGCTTTTACAAGGCTCAGGAAGGCGGGTACTCCAGATAGAGACAACCACTTATTGAAAAAGCAGGAGGTGGAAGATAGAATGTCTCATAGGAAAAACAACTAACACGTCATTTGGACTAGAAAGGAGTGAAGGGAAGTAAAATAACACGACTAGGAAAGTAGTTAGGAGGGAGAGGATACCATAATGTGACATTCAAATTCATTGATTCAGAATCACTTGTAGGATTTAGATGATCAATTTTTTTCTTCAGAGAAGGTTGCTGAGGCCCAGAGAGGAAAAGGAACTTCTCTAGGGTTAAACTCACAGCTTTGTAGCCTAAATCCAGATGCCATTGGTTAATCTGGATCCAAAGGTGTCTGTATATCATTACATGAATGTGAGATTAAAATCACAAGGGTAACTGCTCTTTTGGTTTTCAGAGAGTAAAGCAAAGAAAGCCACGTGTGATTTTGTAGAGAATTTTGGGCAAAGAGGAAGGCAGCTGGCGGTAGGGAGGCTGGGCTGGGTGTGTTCATTCAAACTTGCAGCTGAGCCCCTCTTTCGTTGATTTCTGGTATTGCCCCACAGAGAGTAACCTTAGAAGGGCTTGAGGTTTGCCTGCATTTACGGGGACAGACACACCTGACTTTTTCTGTCTCTATATTTGGTGCTGCTCCCTCTTCACCTTCCCTTTGCCCTTTGCAATGGGAACTGTGTGTGGGAACAGACATTAATAACAAGCCAGTCCTGACATTCAGTGAGTGCTCGGTGAAGGTTTTCTGAAGATAGATACACTTGCTTCTTTCCGATTTGTAGCTGAGGGGAGTCAAATACTTGATGTGATCTGTTGTAAGGAGGAGCTTTGTTCATAGGAAAGCACAGACACTCTGGGAAGAGATGGGAGAATGCTGGCCTGAGAAATCTTAATGTGTCACGTCATCACTGACACCAGAAATTCAAGGATAGTCCTAAAATCTTAAGGCAATAAGAAGAAAGGCCTGCTAAGGAATTACAAATAGCTCTTCAGAGGTTCCAGTTCGCTGAGAGTGTTTTTTAACATATGAAATTCAATGGAATATAATGAATTTTTAGCATTTTTTATAAGGAAGGCACATGGTATAGTGCAAAGAGTGGTTGACTTGGAGTACACCTCCAACAGTATTTTCCTCCTCTATAAAATGGAGATAATACCACCTATGGTACCTGCCTCACAGGATTATTGTGAGGATCAAAGGCATCATAGTTCAAGGAATGGTAGAAAAGCATGTTGAGTTTAGAGCCACAAGATCTGAGTTCAAATCCTGACTGTCACCGAGTACCTGTGCGACATTGGACAAATCACTTAACCATCCCGTGCCTCAGTTTCCTCACTTGTAAAATGAGGGAATTGGACCTGATGGCCTCTAACGTCCCTTCTAGCTATAAATCTATGATCCTATGTATAGGAGAAAAAAAACAACCTACTAACCTGAAAGCACTATGTCAGTGTGATCTGTTATCCCTTTCCTTAAAAAGAGACAGGCTGAAGCTGGAAGGTTAGGCTGCTTCTCTTCTGTGATTTAATCCAAGTCCGTGAACGGGCATCCTACACTTGCTAGTCTATGAAGCAGTCCCAGAGCACTCATTTGACCTTCTGGGTAAACAACACAGGTGCCATCAGTTGAAAGCTGACTATTGTTAATAGGAGAAGGGGAGAACATAATCAAGGGTAGGTTGGGATCTCAAAACTGATGACAGGCTTGACCATATCATGTCACAAGTTAATCAAGTCAACAAATTCTTTTTGGCAGTAAGTAACTATTATTGCAAAGCCTGAAGTGGCCGTGTGGAATAATGGCTAGACATTAAGTCTTGAGGACCAGAAGACCTGCAACCATAGCCTGTCTCTGACACACACTGATGGAGTGGCTGTGTACAAATCACTTAACCTTCCAATTCCTAGCAACTCTCTAAGGCCATCAGAAGTGATGCCATCTTGCATTGGTAGCAGTTTCCTTACCTGGGAGTCTTTTATACCAATGGAAGCACAGGAAATCCCTATCCTGTTTTGTAAAACCTTGTATTTGAAAAGACCCAAGAGTCACTGCTGAAACTCTGCCCTTTCATTAGGCCTTTTTTATGGAATCAAAATTAATTTTGACAGACAGAATGTCTCAGTGCTTTTCACTCTGATTGTAGCTTCATCCTTATGGAAGATAGTAATAGGTTTTCTGCTCACTTCTTTTTTTCTTGGTACACAAGACTGTTCCTAACTTGGACACAACAGTCCTTTTCCCAAACATCCTCAAACCCCCTAACTGCTACTTAAGTAGATCTGTCTCTCTCTCTGCTGTCCTCAGTGGCAGTCACTGTCATCATCCATTTTTTGGGGGGGCACTTAATAGCAGATTTATCTTGAGTGTGTTGCCTAGTGTCTGTGAGCCCGTCTCCGAGTATGATAATGTTTATACTCTTGCCTCTACCAAAGGTTGGCGTGAGGAAAGCGCCTTGAAGTTTACAGAGTACCTTCTAAACCCTTCTTGTTTTTGACTACCACCAACTTGTGATAAAAAGAGCACTGGATTTTCATTTAGGAGATCTAGGCTGAAGTCCCGACTGTGTTTTAACCTGCATGACCTTGGTGAAGTCACCAAAACTTTCTGAGCCTATTTCCTTACCTGTAAAACTGGGATAATCAATAATATTTGCACTACCCTACCTCACAGGGTTGTTGTGAGGAACGAGAGACATTATATGCTGGACGACTCACGAAGCATGCTACCCATCTATTCACAGAGAGCTGATAGACTCAGGGTGCAGACTGAGACATATATTTTTTGGCATATAGCTAATTCAGAAATTTGTTTTATTTGAAAATGCCTGTTATAGGGGTTTTGTTTTTCTTTCTTTTTTTGTTGAGGCAGGGGAGAGAAAATGGGCTTTTATTCGTTGGAAAAGATGACATTAAGTAAAGGAATAATGTATGTAAAACATGTATTTCAGTATTTGAAGGACGCATATTTTCAACAGTGTTGGTAGTGATGCAGATGACAATGATTGAGTAACTTGCTGAGACCAAGAAAATCGTCAGTTGGTAGCCAGCCTTCTGGGGATGATCTGTTTACCCTAGAATTCTCACGAAGAGCCTTTTTGCTAGAATTGCTAAAGAGTCAGTCTATCACTAGCTTATACTCAGAGTTCCTGCCTGCTTCATAAAAGGTGACTGTTCCCCCAGAAGGTCTGTGACCTGAGTTCTCTTTTTGGTTGTAACATTTGATTTGTGCAATAATCTTATGCAAGTCTTTTCGATTTTGGGCCTCCTTTCTCCACCTGTAAAATTAGACTTCACCATCCTACTGGTATGTACTTGAAGGAGGTGAAAGAAGGTGACTGCCAAACACTTTGACCTCCTTGGAAGCTTCTTGAGAACAAAGCAGTCCTGGGTAATGCACTTTGTAATTTTCAAGTGGACCCTTATTTTCATTCTGCACAGGATGCTGTGAGACATGGTATGGCAAAGTGGGTAGAGACCTGGTCTGGTCTTGGAGTCTGGAAGGGCTGGGTTCAAATCTTGCCTCTTATACATACTGGCTGAATGACCACAGGCGAGTCACTTAAGGGAAAGGAACAAACATACTACGTTGCAAGCACTGTGATAAGTGCTTTACAAATATTCTCAATTGATCCTCACAACCCTGCAAGTGCTATTATAGTCCCCATCTTACAGATGAGGAGACTGAGGCAGATAGAAGTTAAGTGACTTGCCCAGGATCACACTGCTAATAAGTGTCTGAGGCCAGATTTGTACTCAGATCTTCCTGACTGACTCTAGTGCCCTATCTGCTGTGCCAGCTAGCTGCTTCTAAGTGTCCTAGGCAACTAAGATTATTAAATTTCAGAGGCATTACTGATCTAATTGGTGGGAGGAATTGTTCCCCTACAGATGAAATTATGGATCAAAAAAAAAAAAGAATGCTAACAAAACACCAGGTTTGTAAATATAGTACATGGCATACAAACCAGCCACCATCACAGAAATTAAATTACTTTTTATCGTAGCCACAGAATGGTCAAAAAGTTATAATATCAACTTTATTTTGAAGTGATTTCTGAGGATGAAGATCTATAACATATGGGACAGTAATAAGGTGGTGTGGGCAATGGGACAAAGTATAACAAAAAGATCAGCTTTTTTCTTTTTTAGATATTGTTGAAATGGAAAAAAAAAGATTTAGAAGATAAAGTGGCAATAGGCAACATTTAATGTGTATCATATAGTTGTGAAATAAAAGTTTTTGACCAGAAACACAGCTCATTTTCTCCCATTTAAAAGAGACAAGGTTTATGAAGGTATAAAATTAATGTTATTAGATCCTATAGTCTCTTAACCTTTCAGATACAAGTAGTGACTTTGTGCCTAAGATGCTGGCATGATTGTACTGATCTCAAGAGATTTTGGCATTTTACCAAATGGCCTGTGGGGAAACCTGTTGTTTTTTCTTTTTTTCTTTTGCTCAGGAGGAGGAACAGCAGTAGCTCACTGTCACTAAGAACTCTGACAAATGGCCCATATTCACAGTGTTCTACCTAGCTTGCTTTAGTGGAAATTTTAGCCCACGTAAATGAATTCTGGCAGAATAGTGGAGACTTACCAGGCCTTTCCCCCTTTAAATTAGCCAAAGATAAACAACGTAACACTGAATACCCCCCTTCACTCTACATGAGCCAGTCAGGATGTAAAGGGGAAGGGGCACAGAGGACGTCATCAGAGAATTATTTAAAAAGTCATGTGGAGAGAGCAGGGGATAACCTTTGGAGAGCCCACGTACTTGACTAGTATCCTCTCAGTGACAAGAGTTCGAGGAAAGCTCTTACTAGGTCAGGTGGACTTGGCTGTGGCAGATTTTCAGTAGGACATAGACAGGTGTTGCATAGGATGGGCAGGCATGGATGGATTGTGATCTCCATCAATGGAGAGCTTGAAGGAGCTGGCAAGTCCGTTGGAGTCTTGGAGGAGGTGGACAAGGATGGTAACGGTCAAATCTAAATCCTGTTTGTCCCTTAGGATCTCAGGATAACCTGTGCGTGGCATATTCCTTAGGGTGGCTAGACGCTATCGAGGGTGTTCATTTAAAAGCAGATCGGAGGAGAAAAGGGGATTCTGTCCTCTGGTCCTCCCATTCACTGTTCTCTATCTCTATATGCAGCAATTTTAGCTAGAGAACAGCAAAGAGCCCTTTCAGAATGGCAGCATACCAACACTGAACCTCAGGAGAAGAGTCGTAAGGTAAAAACCCAAGCTTGAAGCCACCCACTATTATTTTGACAGCATATCATAATGTGCATTGCATGAAACATTACTCAACTTAGGTCTTACATTTCTTTTTCCACATAAGTTACTGTTTAAATTGACCAACCTCCTAAGACATAAGCTCTTGAATATTTCTCAGGATGGAACTGGTTTCTTGCTAAGGTTCATGTTGCAACTACCAATATGAATGGGCCAGCTTACTTGGTAAGGGGCCATTTGTCTCCCTGAGGGCTGTAACTGAGTTAAGAAACAAAAGGACTTAGGGAACCTACAAGTTATGTTACACAAACCATAAAGTAATATCTGATAGTAACCACCACCCTGCTTGCTGGCTGACGAGGTGAAGTGTGTCATCGAGACACCTCCATTTGTAAACGAGGTACGATTATTCTTCATAAACCACAGACTGTGAATTACAGAGGAATTCCCTAGGGATGATCATCCTAGATGGTGATCCAGTTCAGCATGTTGGTACTATTGTAGTAAGTTCATGGAATAGCAGAGCAGAGGAGAAAAGCATATTCTGTCCTCTGGTCACCCCAACCACTGTTCTGTATCTCTACTTGTAGCAAGTTCACCTGGAGAGAATTGCCCTCACACCTGGATCCCTTAAGGTGGTACAGTTGCAAGAAAGGTCTGATTACATCAGTGCATCTCTTCCTTGTGAGTCTGAAAAAACAAAGGGAAAGAGTGCTGTATCAAAAGCCTTAAATAAACCATGAAAAATCAACACTTTCCTGCCAGTATGTGCACTACATGCTGGCATCAAAAGGTAAAATCAGACTTAGAGGCTTGGTGTATACGATTCATTTAGGAAGGTTTTAAAAATAAAATATTTCACATAAAACAGTGCCCATATAAATCTCCTTCTGTGCAGAAAAGTGACAGGACTGCCTGAAAAGACTTCATCTGTTTGGTATGTAATGTCTGAAGCACACTGAAGGTAAATGAGAGGCAAAGTTTACTATGGATAACCCCAACTTCATTTTACCTATTAGCATCAATTGCTTTCTCTCCTCCAAAAGGATCAATTATCAGAACTTTTAGCTGTAAAGTGGTTTTTGCCTGGTATATGTTTTATCTCTTGTCTTTACCATATATGTATAGGATGGTCTCCCTCCCAACCTCCAACTGTTAGAATCCCTTGCTTCCTTTAAGACTCATCTCAAGAGACACATCCTCCAAGAGGCCTTTCCTGGCCTTCTCCAGATGCTCGTGCCATCACTGAGGCAGCTAGGTGGTACAATGGATAGAGCTCTGGGCCTGGAGTCAGGAAAACCCACGTTCAAATCCAGCCTCACTTACTAGCTTTGTGACCCTGGCCAAATCACCGCCTACCTCAGGTGTAAAAATGGGGATACTAAATGGGGATACCTACCTTGTGAGGTTGTTGTGAGGATCAAATGAGATATTATTTGTGAAGGGTTTAGCACAATGCCTGGCATAGAATAGGCACCCTATAAATGTTTATTCTTTTCCATTCCAAGATTACCTTTCCTCTACTCTGTATTTATTTTGTACGTTTGGATTTATCTATGTTGTTTCCCCCACTGGAATCTACACTCCTTGAGAGAAGGGACTGCATTTGCTTTTTCTTTTTTTTTAAATCCCCAGTGCTTGGCACGGTGCCTGGCACATAGTAGGCATTTAAGAAATGCTTCTTGATTGACTGGAAGGATGACCAGCCAAAATGGTGAACAGAGCCCTGGACTCAGGAGGACCTGAGTTCAAATCCAGCCTCGGACACTTCACACTTACTAGCTGTGTGACCCTGGGCAAGTCACTTAACCCCAACTGCCTCATCAAAAAAAAAAATAACCAAAATACAAACAAGACTAAGACGTACAAAAAAGCCACTAAATATTACATAGTGACTGTGTGTTTTTAAATCATGCTTTTAAACAATTCAGTATGAGGGGAGGGAGGAAACAAATATTTATTAAGCATCTATATGCCAGGCACTGTTCTAAGTGCTTTACATATATTATCTCATTTGATCCTTACAACAGCACTGGGATGTCAGATGCTATTATTATCTTTATGTTAAAGTTGAAAAAAACTGAAGTGGACAGAGCTTAGGGGACTTGCCCAGGGTTACACAGCTAGTAAGTGTCTGCTTTGACTCTAGGCCTAGAGCCCTATCCACTGTGCCATCCAGATGCCTCTGCTTGTGGTAGAGATGAGTGAAGGGAATGGTGAATTTTAGGTGAGCTATTTCTTTTCATATCCAAAACTTTATAAGCAACATCTTAAAAGTCATATCAATCAATCAAAAAACACGTATTAAGTGACTACTACGTGCCAGGCACTGCGGATACAAAAAGTGGCCAAAGACGGTCCTTGCCCTCAAGGAGACCATACTATAATAAAGGAGACAACATACAAAGACCTATGTACAAAGTAAGTTATATACAGGATAAATAGGAATTAATTAAGAGAAGGAAGGTACTAGAATTAAAAGAGGTTGGGAAAGGCTTTCTGTAAAAGATAGGCTCTTAGTTGAGACTTTAAGGAAGTTAAGAAAGGCAGGAGGCAGAGATGAGGAGGGAGAGTATTCCAGGCACGGGGGACAGTCAGAGAAAATGCCCAGAGGCAAGAGATGGAGGGTCTTTATATGGAAGAGCTAGGAGGCCAGTGACACTGGATTGAACAGTAAGGGAGTAAGGTGGAGGAAGGCTGGAAAGGTAGGAGGGTTATGAAGGGCTTTGAATGCCAAACAGAACATTATGTATTTGATCTTGGAGTTACCAAGGAAGCCACTTGAGTTTATTGAGTAGGGGGTTGGGAGTAGAGGCAGTGACATGACTAGATCATCTCATACCTAGTGTCCTAGAAGGTACAGTCTAGATACTACTAAACAGAACCACTTTTCCTTTTCTGAAACTAGATCTGTTCTTTTCTGCCTCCACACATTTGATTACTCTTTCCTTTATCCCTGGAAAATGTACTCCTTTCCATCTCTGCCTGTTGAAAATTCTACTCATTCTTCAGGTCTCAGTTCTAATGCTAGCCCCTTCTCGGTGGCTTTCCCTGCTTGATTGCCCCAGCCAAATGTTCTCTATCTTTGGGTCTCTTTGAGCATGTTGAGACTCTTCTATTTCATAGTATATTTGTATTTTTCTTATCTTTCCTACTTGACTGTAAACTCCATGACAGGAACTGCTGTCTATGCAACTTTGTATTCCTATGTCTAGCACAGGGCCTTGAATATAATAAATGTTGAATTGAAACCAAGTAAGAGCTTTTACTCAGTATTTCTGGGACTTGGGCCCAAATCATTCATCTTACTCTTAAATTTGTCTGATTCTAAAATAATGTAGAGTTTAATGAAACATTTTAAAATCAATCTGCACAGGGGCAGCTAGGTGACGCAGTGGATAGAGTACTGGCCCTGAAGTCAGGAGGACCTGAGTTCAAATCCAGCCTCAGACCAAACACTTGACACTTACTAGCTGTGTGACCCTGGGCAAGTAACTTAACCCCAACTGCCTAAAAATAATAAAAAAAATAATCTGTACAAATAATACAATAGCAAAAATAAAAAAGTAAAATCTGTAAATATAGAGAGGCTCCTTACTTAGGTAGAAATGAATTCAGATGCTGGGTGGAGTGGCACCTTTGGCAACTAATCCTGAGACATTTCTAAATCAATCAACCAAAGAACTTTTAGTAAGTACCTACTACAATCCAGGAATATGTTAAATTTTAGGACTCCTCAACAATCCAATACAGATTAATAGGATGTCATTTCTATGCAAATTTCTAAAATCTGTTACTGATAGTTTCCCCTCCCTTGTTTCTTTCCATCTTTCCCTTCTTGTTCCTCATAGAAACTTCCAAGTTATCCCTTTGTAGTCATCACTCAGCAATTTCTTTTCCTCTGAGGGTCACTCCATCAGTCTATATTGCCTACCCAGATCGATACAGGCCTCTGTAGCTTTTCAGGTTACCCACCTGTCTTTCTCAGAGTTCAATGCCTGGCTCACAGTCTTTTTCTCCTTCTCCACCTCTCCCAATCCCCATCATGATCCAGAAGATCCAGAGATCCCCTTCAGCACCCTGGCCTCCTAAGCACATCAACTTCCTAACACCTAAGACCTGTCCCTTCACTCCACCTCAGCCACACCTAGGGATGGTCACATCTTAAGATCTCACTCATGAAGAACATGGATGTCTCTGTGATCTTGACCTCTTAAGTTTCTTTCTCTGTGAAGTTCCAAGGCTTCTATCTCTCACTCTGCCTCAGTCCTAGCCTATTCCTCTTCCTCACCACTACCTCCAGACCTTTCACCCCCTCCATTCTCCATTTGCTGTCAGTCACTGCTGCTCTGGCTTGATCCTATCTTATACCTTAGAATCTTTTGAATAATTGTCCTATTGCAGCTCGCATCTTGCTAACCCCCACCTAGTTGTCTTTTCACTATCTGGCTGCCTTTCTACTCCTATTCCAGTGATGACAAGAAAAAATAAAATCCCCTCTGTGGGGGCACTACAAATTTATCTAATCTCAATTGTACCCTAACTGCAATGAATCAAATATATTATTTTTCCCTGATTTACTCTCTACAACCTTTCAAACAGTTTTTCTCTTCAAGGTACTTAAATCACCCCTTCTTCCTGGTCTCTTTTTCAAGTGGTAGGTTTTGATCCCTACTCTCTTGAGAAAAGAGGTATTCCATTTGAATGTTCTCCTCTGTTCACCTATTCCATATGGCAAATCCCCTCAGCATTTTATTCTTTCATGATGAAGTGCTGGGTTGGCAGTAAGAGGACCTAGGACCAGAATCTGCCTTTGCCACTTATTAATCTCTGTGGGCCTCAGTTTCCTTGTCTATTAAATGTAGGGGAAGGACTAAATCAGTGGTGTCAAATTCAAATAGAAAGGTTCTAGCATACTGACTTAGCTACAAATTAATATTATCTATGTTGTACTGTACTTTTATTTCTTTTGTTAAATATTTCCCAATTACATTTTAATCTGGTTAGGGTCGTACTGGAGAGTTTGATACCTCCAGATTAGATGACCCTTAGGGGTCCCTTCCAAATTAATGATTTGAGGAAGAGTTGGTCCTTCTTTTTGCCAAGGCCAACCCTCCTATATGTTCCCCTGAGGTTTTCCTCCATCCTCATCTTTAATCTCTTCTTATGCACTGAGTCTTTCCTTGCTGTCTACAATCACGCCCAGCCTTTTCTCTTCCTTAAAAAGCCTTCACTTGACCCTACCATCCCCTCAAGCTTTCCCCTTCTCAGCGACACTCCTAGACAAAGGTGTCTAAGCTTGCTGCTTCATTTCCTCAATGCAACTTCTCAACCCTTTTGCAATCTGGCCTCTGATCTCTCCACTTAACTGAAATTGCTATCACCTGGTTAGCAATGTCTAGCAAGGTGCTAAAACCCAAAGGTCTTTTCTCAGTGCTCATCCTCTTTGTTAATTTGCTGCTTTTGACAGTTTGCCATCCACTCCCGTTGCATAATCTTTTCTGATTCTCCTCCTTCCTGTTTGACTGCTCAGTCTCTGTTGGATCATTATCTATTTCCTGTTCACTCAGCATGAGTGTCTTCCAAGGCTATGCTAGACCCTCCTCACTCCCTTAGCGACCTGATCAGCTCCCACAGGTCTCTTTGCATATGATTCTAAAATCTATACATCTAACCCTAACCTCTCTCCTGAACGTTAGTCCTCTATGGCCATCTACCTCCTGGAGAAGCAGTGCAGCATAGTGGACCCAGGTGCTGGGCTTGGGGTCATGAAGGCTCCCTTTCAATTCCAATCTCAGAAATCTACAAGATGGATGACAACACATGAGTTACTTAACTACTTTCAGCTTGAGTTTCTTCATCTGTAATAACTAGTACTTATTTCACATGGTTTTTTGAGGGCCAAATAAGATAATAGACATGTAAAAACACTGCAGACCTTAAAAAGCACCATATGCATGCCAGTTGCTATTCTCAACTCAGTGGCATGGTGGATAGCGTGCCAGGCCTCAGTTCAAATCCAACCTTGAACAATAACTAGCTACTCAACCCTGGGCAAGTCACTTAACCTGTTTGCCTCTGTTCCTCATCTGTAAAATGAGCTGGAGAAGGAAATGGCAAATCACTCAAGTATCTTTGCCAAGAAAACTCCAAACAGACACGACTGAATGAACAGCAACAACCATCTCTCCACTTGGATGTCCTGTCAGCAGCTCAAATTCAACAAGACACAAAAGGGCACACATCCCTCCCTCATAAAGCCATTCCTTTCCCAAACTTCCCTACTTTGGTTGAAGACATCATCATCTTTCCATTCTCCCAGGTTCTCAACCTTGGAGGCAGCTCTAAAATTTTTTTTCCCCCTCTCACAGCCATCAAATCAATGTCAAATTCTAACTCCAAATCCCTTGCATCCTTCCCATTCTCTTAACTGGCACCTCTTACTTGGATGACCATGTTTCTTGTCTCTTTATCATCCACCTTTCACATAGCTGCCAACTTGATATTCCTAAAAGGCAGGTCTGAGTATGACCCTCTCCTGCAGAAAAATCTTCAGTGCCTCCCTACTGTCTCTAAGGTAAACTTTTAACGCTCAGCATAGCATTTAGAACCTTCTATAATAGAGATCCCATCTACCTTTCCAGATTTCCCTTCATTGACCTATATTTACTCAAACTGACTTACTATCAGTAGTTACCATGCCTGGAATGCATTCCCTCCTCACCTCTACCACTTAGGATCCCTGGCTGTCTTCAAGGTTCAACTTAGATGCCTCCTCTTTTCCTGAGTTCCCAGTTCTTAGTGCTTTTTCCCTTCACAAATTCTCTTGAATTTACTTATCTGTTCATGTCCCTAGTAGAACACACTTAAGGGCAGGGGTTATTTTTCATTTTTATCCTTGTATCCTCAGTGCTTAGCCCTATTTCTTACATGTGGTAAGGGCTAAATAAAACATTTTCTGAACTGAATTAAATATTTCTTTTGTTTTTCTTAGTTGGCCCTAATCTACGCATACACAGTGCCTAGTATATGGTAGGAGCTCAAGTATCGCATTGGTCCATAGAGATGCCATGCATTTTTCTTAAATTTGGCTTGTATACCAAGCGCAGTATAGAACACGTTCTTTGTAGCACAGGTAGAAACACTGTGATTTCAAACGAAATCTCAAAAACCAGAAAGAACTTGAAAGGTTTGATAGTTTTCATAAAAGAACCTTTAGCTCTCTGGACCAGTGTTGCTAGTTGCTCTGTGAGTTATTGTGAAGTTAGAGGTAACCATATCTGGGGAGGAGGGAAGCTGTCTGGAAGGAGGATTAGTGTTAAGATACAATTATGAATATAAATTTTAAAAGCAGTTATTAATTATACTTTAACTACAAATAGCTGGGAAGAAGAAAGTATTAATGAAAAGAATGTCACTGGATACATGAGAAGAAAAAAAGTTCAGAATGCCACTTCCAAGGTTAATAAGTATGCATTTTCCTTTGTAAAACAACTAAGACAAAACAGAATGCTGATCAGCCTGTGGCCATTCAATTGATAGCCTTAGGAATTGCAAAATCTGGCAGAAAGTGACTGAACACATATAAAGCAATCACTGGATGGTGCCAGGGATTAGTAAAGAAGTCCTACATTTAGATGTAGGACATTATTAATTATCACCCGATTTTAATGAGAAGACTGTAGACTACAAGTTCCTTAGCTATTAGAAAATATACAAATATCACTTCAGCATCGGAGAGGCAGCCTGGCATAGTGGATAGAGGGACAGACTTTGAAGTCAGGAAGACCTGAGTGACTTCAAGCCCTATGTGGCCATGGATAAGTTGCTCTCAGTGTCTCAAGGCAACTCTTAGACTAGAAGTTGCAGACAAATTGCTGATTTGCATTAAGGGAAGGAGTTTTAGTACTAGGTCAACCCTCCCCATATCCCCACCCCAGTCCCATCATCTTAACCAAATCAGAAATCCATGCTTTTCAATATGCTGGGCAACACAACTATGAAAGAGATGTGTAAGTCATTCTTGGGACAACACAGCCACTGAAAATGGAAACAGAAAGTGCCTTAGAGAAATGTTAGATGTACTGGCTGATGGCTGAAAGTTGCCACTGAGGTGAAAAAAATGCTTCTAAGACAAATACTCCCTAAGAGTTATTATGAGATACCCAAAAAGAAGTTGGAGGAATACTGACTGAGTGGCCAACTGGTTATCAGTCATAGGGAATTAAGAGGACCTAAGCTCTTCTTCAAAAAAGGGCAATGCTAGATCTGGGTTTATTTAAAGGGTATCCAACCCCTCAACTAAAAAGACTTGAATCCTCATAATTCAGGTCAAATTGTTGTCTATGTGGAATGGTATCATAGCTATGGGCCCTTCAAAGACAACTCCCCAAAAGCAGACCTCACATGGTCTTTTGTTCAGGGGTGTCACATCTTGACAATTAGTGAAAAAAACTGAAAAGCCATGGGCAGACATTCTATAAAAGTGGATTTTAACTACACAGGAAATACTAACTCCTAAAGTCTGTGATCCACTGCTTAAAAATTGCAATGGTGGTGAAGATGACATTGTGGAAAGACTGAGAAGAAGAAGAACACAAGTGACAGAGACAAGCAGCAATGATAAAGATGAATAAAACATCTTTATTTGCATTTTAAAAATGTAATAAAATCCACAGTAAATACATTTTATATGGTAATTTAATGTACTTTTCAATGTATGCTTAGACATATTTTTGTAAAAGTATTAAAATAGTTGTACATATTTTTCCTTTGAGAGAGATCTCATATTAAAGGGTGGGGAGAGGGAAGGGGGTTGGTTAAAAAAAAAACAACAAACCAATATGGTACTTGTTGAATATGAGGAGAAAAAAAGATAATAGCAGATTCATCCTTGGCTTCCATCATTTTTGAAAGATTACAATGCATGGAAAAGGACCATCTCATCAAATATATTTTTACTTGAGAAAAAATACCCTTTGGTATTAATTAACTAGTACACAGGTACAGTTATAATTGGGTCTTTCCACTAACCCCTCCCACCTCACCCCTGCCACCATATCTGGAAAAAAAGGATGATGGGGGTGGGAGTACATATCTTTGTCTTCAAATATATTTGAAAAGCTGTCATGTGGAAGAGTGAACTTATTGTATTAGGACCCATAGGAGGAATTTACAGGGAGGCCAGTCTCAGTTAAATATAAGGAAGGAATGTTTAATAATTTGAGCTGCCTGAAAATTAAATGGGATGGCCTATGGGATAATGAACTATTCAAAGAGAGGCTGTAAGGAATGTTGTCGAATGTGTTCCTTCACTGAGTAGGAGGTGATCTCTAAGATTCCTTCCAGTTCTATGAGCTTAACTCTAGTAAGAAAAAAAAACCTGAGGCTTTACAATTCTTAAGTCATACATCTTTTGTGTATTCATATATCTATATATTTACATATTAATATTTGGGTCATGTTCTGGAGACAGGCTGATTTGATGGGTGGGTAAAAAGAGGTTTATAACAAGTGGTCTACTAGAGTCCTGATTGTATCAAAAGTTGTGCTTCTTACAGCATTGACATTTCTACTTTGGTTTCTGGCATGAATAGTTTATTTTTGCATGGGACCTGTCAAGTTAATTGATATAGAGCTCTTCTTGAGGAAACTTCTCCTTCTACCAGTGCAGATCATCAACTACTCTGCAATTTATTCTCTTAAGAGAGTTGCCCGGGGCAATGAGAGGGTAAGTGATTTGCCCAGAGTCCCACAGCCCCTCTGCATCTGAAATAATCCCACCCAGGTCTGGCTGGTTCTGTGGCTGTCACCCTAACCCTGATGCTAGGCTGAGGAAACAAAAATAATTTACGTGGGCTTGATGAGATCCTACAGCACTTTCTTGGTTTCTTATCAAGAACATTCTTCCCATGAACTCTAGTCACATTTTGTGTGAGTTCAGATTTTTCTGGGGCAAACAGGAGTTAACTGGAGTGTGGGGCCTATAGGGTTTAGTAGAGAGAATCTAGAGGAGGGAACTGCTTTCTTAGTTACCTTTGCTATAGAACAGGATGGTTCCTGGAGTCATTCTTATCTTCTGAGGTCACCAGTTTTGTTTTGCTCTTCCTGTTTTTGGCAACTCGGAGAGGCGGCCCTGGGGACATTTTGTTCATTCTGTGAAATAAGAAAGCATAAAGGTGGCGTAGTGGATAGAGCACTGGGCTTGGCGGAAGAAATGAGTTCAAATCCCACCTCAGATACTTACTAGTTGTGCGACTCTGGGCAAGTCACAACCTCACTGAGCCTGTTTCCTTATCTGTTAAATCAGGACAATGACAGGACACCTACCTCATAGGGATGCGGTGAGGATCAAATGTGATGTGTGTAAAGCACTTCATAAGTTTCAAAGCCATCTATAAATGCCAGCTCTCATTAACCGCTGTTGCACAGTACGCCAGAGAGCTCAACGTGCCCACTATAACACTGGGTCCCCAGGGTTTGCAGCAACACTAGTTTTGCTTTGAGATTCTTAAAACCTGAATTTGAACTATTTGTGCAGAGATGGACCAATACTAGTGGTTGAAGCAGAAAAGATGAATGTCGGCGAATGGTTCTCAAGCTGTATTTGGAACTCCTAAGTGGTGATACATCTTTAGCATTGGCTGCAGTCAGGGAGTAAGCACATTTTTCTTAGTTCTCAAGCACTGTTTAGAGATGAACTGCTACATCTGAATGCTTTCATTGGTGGCCTTTTCATCTCATCTTATTCACACTCTGGATAGTGAGTACCCACTATTGCTTGGAGGACACCACAGTGTGCCATTTGAGGGCTCATTTAGTTGGCTCCAATTTGGTGGATGGTTTTGCAAATCAAGCCATCATGTACTGAAGGAAAGATACTGTAAATGTTAAAACAATATTTGTTCATTCTTTCACTGATGCTGCATGGAAGCCTGTGTTATCTTATATTCTGAGGCTTAAGTAATGTCATCAGGGCCATAAAACCAGAGTGCTATTGAGCACTGGTCGACAGTTATTAGACAATTATGACTGAGTTGTGGGGCTCTTTGGCTTTAGCATTTCTGTGAGATGTTTCCTGGTTGGACAGGTCCTAGGTGCAATTAAAATTCAAGGGATATATCTGTGTCTTTAATGTTTCTATTGCATCCCCAAAATGTGGAAAAATGCTATAGCCTTAGAAAACTTCAGCTGTTAGTCACAGAATGAAGCCAACTACTTTATGTTTTAAAATTACTACTAGTTCTTTTAAAAACCTCATTTGTTTAAAACATTATTTTATTTTGCATTCCTTTAGTTTTGTTTTTCTGTAAAAATCACCAGTATACCAAGAATACTTGGAATTTCAGCTCAGCACAGGAGCCACTTATCTAGATCCCCAAATGACAGAGCAAATAGATACACATTATTTGCCACAGGATGATTTTGTCAGTGGACTAATTATTTTTCTCTTATTGTATAATGCATTTAGTAGTCAAGATGGTTGCTTATAATTCTCTTCTAGCATGGAAATCTACAAAAAGCCATCTTGTATTTAGTTACTCACAGTGATTTTTATTATTACCATTAAGTAAAATTACTCCAGTAATGATTATTTTCAGTACTGAGATGAAATGCTCCGTCCAACCCCAAACTTAAAGGGATGCTAGTTTCCTCTAAGCATATCAAGAATGTTCTAGATGTAGTTTATGGGTTCAAGATACTTTTAGCACCAAAGAAAAACTACCTGCAACTATAGCAAAAAGGTAACTATTTATTGTAGATTATTCTTACATTATAAAGACCAAGAAATCATGAATCCTGACTACAAAACCCAAATGACCTATTGATCTATTTTAAATATTACCTGTTTTGTTAGCGATTAAATTTAGTAGCCAGGCCAAAGCATATTGCATTGTTAGAAATTAAAATCTTCAAGTTTTCAAGACTATTCTTAAAATTTTTTTTTGTTTTATGAAAAGTCTGTAACACAAATCTGAATGTTTCCCACTCTCATCTGAAACTCTAGAGCAGTGAGTTTCCAAACTGTTTTGATCATTCACTCCACGAGCAAAAAATTTTTGAGCATACACCCCGATATATGTGTTTACTTATAAATTATGTACAGCTACTACTGTACTATTTGTGTATATTACATAACTTACACAAAAATGTAAATTAAAGAAGGGCAAAATAATATTTGATCCTAGAGCAAATAAGGTTTTATTGTTGTTCAGTCATGTCCAACTCTTCATGACCCCATTGGGGGTTTCCTTGGCAAAGACACTGGAATGGTTTGCCATTTCCTTCTGAGGAAAATGAGGCAAACAAGTGTAAGAGACCTGCCCAGTGTCTGAGGCCAGATTTGAACTCAGAAAGATGAGTTTTCCTGACTCCAGGCCTGGCACTCTATTCACTGTGCCACCTAGCTGCCCTAATAAGGAGTCACTGGAACTTAAAAGGGAGTGACATGGATAGAACTGCACTTGAGGAACATGATTTTGGTAGCTGTGAGGAAGATGGAAAAGAGAAATTTGAGTCAGGGAAACCAATAGACTACTGTAATAACCAGGTGAGAGATGCTGAGGGCCTGAACCACGATGGTGTGTCTGTGTGGACAGCAGTGGTCTCTTGTGAGAGATACCATGGGGGTAAAAATAACATTTGGCATCTGATTGGATATGTGCATGAGAGTGGAGTCAATGATCATACTGAGGTTGTGAATCCAGGCAACTGGAATAATAGTGGTACTGCCCTTCATAGTAGTGAGGAAGCTTGGAAGAGTAATTTGAGAAGATGGAATGTGAAGACTTGCAATGCTGATTGCAACCCATCCATGCCTGCTCATCTTGTTCAACTCACCCTTTCACCAGAAACAAAAAGGTGCTATGAGGACAGTTCTAGAAAGTTAGACTTGATTCCTATTCGGTCAAGGGATGGGAGTCTTGCCTCTGCAGTTGCTATGGGCTGCCCAGTATAGTGGGACAGGGCAGGGCGAAGGCAATGTTGAGAGGTTAATGGGTGAAGGGAATGGTGGAGCTGTGTGGGAGACGGACCTATGATTGGCTATCATAAGGAGAGTGAGACTGAACCCATCTTCTCACTCCACCTTAATGGAGTGATCCCACAGCCTAGGGATCATGCCACAGTCCCAATTTTGGAGAACACTGCTCTAGAGTTTAGTTTTGTTATAAATAGCTATTACTACCAGTTCATTAGGGTTACAAGTTGAGGAATTAAAAATCTGGTTTTGGTTCCTTGGAAAAATGTATGCTGTTAGGCTACAGTTTATTAATAACAAAGTAGTAGGTATATAATAGGATATAGATAGGAAAGACTTGAGAAATAATAGATTACACAGCATTCAAGAAGGGGGTTTTGTGATCATTATTTGGAAAGTATAATAACTAACACCCAAAAATAACATTTGAACTTTGTTTTAAAAAGTACTTTTATTTTTCCTTTTCCTTATAACACTACCTTATAATTTAAAATGTCCAGATTTTACATTTGCTTTCAGAAAATTAAGTTTCCTCATAAAGTGAAGGGGAAAATTAAAGACTGAATTTGTTGCATGAGTGCATATGAATCATGATTTGTCTCACTCTCCTCCTCAGCTCCAAGACCCATCATTAGTCTGGCATTGTCATTTAAGGGCAAGTTTCATACTACATGTGAACATTCCCAGGCATAGTTATAAGTTGTACCTGTGTTTGTTTTTGAAAATACAAGTGAGAGAGAGGATAGCAGTTGGCTGACAGTAATACATAATTTGAATAAAAAGCAATAGGGGAAACTGATGCTTTACCACGAAAAAGAAAGCTCTTTCTACTGCTTCATAGATCTTGGCCTCTAGTGCTTTTTTTGAGCGCAAGAATTTTATTAACACTCATTAACCTAAATTTTTTTTCTCCAGTGAAACCAACAACAAAAGGCTTCCACATTCACAGACTGCTACAAATAAAGTTTAACAAGACTTAATTTTAAAATACATTCTAAAAGAGGGCCAAATTATTTTGTTGTAATGGAATCTCAGCATACATTTGTTGAAATTAACAGTCCTAGCTCATAGGATCCAAATTTTAAAAAAACAAACCCACAAAAGCAGATATCTAGCCTGAGTGAATTAGGAAGTGAAATGAAATGTTTTTAATCCCCAGAATCAGAGTTGGAAAGAACCTCAGAGGCCATTTTAGTGCAGCTCGTACTTCACCATGAAACCCCCTAACAACATGCACAGCTAGTGGTCAACCAGTCCATTTTGAAGACCAGAAATGACGTAGTGCCCATATCATGCACATATTATATTTTTACCTTGGTCTAGTTTCCTGGGTAATTTTATATATTGTTTGGGTGGGTATTTTTAGAGTTCAGAAGGGCTTTGTTAAGCTACATGCTTGAGGTGAGGAGGGCGTGTGAAAGGAGCTGAAGGGCTTCTGCTATCTTGCCGTCAATATGTATTTATTGAACAATAGTTCAGGGGTTGGGGTGCTGGTAATATAAGACACAGTCCCTGACCTCCAGGATTACAGAAGCCTTTAGCTGGAAGAGACCTTATAGACTATCTAGTTCAAATCCCCTTTACAACATCCCTGAGAAAACAGTTATCCAGCCTCTGCTTAAAAATATCTCCAAGCTAATGAGGTAGCCTTTTCTGAGGAAGTTCTTCATAATGAGATAAAATCTGCCTCTTCCACTCATTGGCGCCAGAATATAGTTTGTGGACAAGTCATAAAGGGATAAGCATGGTATAATAGGAAGGATGCTGGACTTGGGAGTCAGAAGAGAACTGGTGTTAAAATGCAGGTTCTCATAGTTACTTGGAAAATCACTTGACTTCTCTGAGTCTCAGTTTCCTCATCTGTAAAATGATGTTGGTAATACTTGCAATATCTACTTAAGGTAATTGTGAAGAAAGCATTTTGTGAGCCTTAACGTATTATATATCTGATGACTTTTGACAGTATATAATCAAGTGCTAAATTCTGAGGCACAGAATAAAAGTAGTACAGGAATTCGAAAATGTAGGTCACTGTGGACTAAGAATGATCAGGGAAAGTTTCAGAGAGGTAGCATTAGGATTTATTAAAGGATGGATATAGATAATTTGCAAAGAGGAAAGGACGTATCGCCTCTGTAAAATGGGACTGATACTTGTACTACTTATCTTACAGGGC